CTTGCAGAGACGAAACATCATCCTATAGACGATGGTGGTAATTCTGATAGCCACACTGGGCAGGTCGTTAATGAACTGCAAGTGGTGGTGGACAGAGACCCTCCATGGTCGCTTCACAAGGTCCCATACTCAAGGAGCTTCGTAATTTTTGTTAAGGACACCACATATAATTAGACGTGAGGCCAAGGTTGTTACACGATTGAGTAACATACATTGTATCGCTAAGTAAAAAAAATGGCCCTGAACCGAATGTTTCGACTTTATTTTACCATTTGTGTGGTCCATCAACACACCTGACCACAACCCTGTGTAATATTTTGTGTGGTTTAATGGATGAATGGTCGCGCCTCATGCGAGATTCAGGTCGACCTGAACTGACGGATTAAGATCGTTTCCCCTGAATTAAGACTACGATGAAGGCCTGGCTTAGGTTGTGATCCCCTTTCAAGGACACCAATGATAATTTGAGCGAATCCTATGGTCTACAGAGATACCCGAACAGTAATGAACAGGATTTATATGCACCTGTTCTTAGCTGATTCATGAATATTTGTACTTAGATAAGGAAAGTATCGTTTTTCGCATTCTACTGAATGATATTATTTTCGCACTCTACTGAATGATATAATGATACATAATTTCTTTGCCCCTATAAGCCATTGACGAAGCATCATACTTAACTGCAATTTGGCATCGTACTTCAATCATACCGAAGATTCTCAGTAATTGGTTTCAGGTTATTCCAATTAACATTTAAAAGTTATTTAGTTTGGAAAAACTTTATATAAATTAAAATAAAATTAAGTCACTTTCCACTCAATTCAATATAGTTTCACATCATTTAAAATATATATGTATTTCAAACGATACCCCTGCTCAATTTTCGAGGCTCCGATATATATATCTCTGTCCGGAATTAATACCCAAATTATTCTGTTTAGATAACAATCAAAAACAATAAAATCATCCCTTCAAGTCTCAACGAGCGTTTGTTCCGAACACGAGAATAAGCTCCAGCCTCCCAACTGGCAGGCCAGCCTGAGGACGGACATCTCAGTGGATTTCCATAGCGTCCGTCGACTAGAAACGCGCGTCTTGCATTCTAAAGCAACACAATTTAACTGGCGGCCGCTGTTCACTTTAACTGAAATCTTGTCGACTTTAGAGCAGCAGGGATGCCACAAATAATCGGTACACCCACGGCACATGAAGTTGCAATGTTCTAGTCATTGCTCTACAATGTACTTGTTTGAATAAAAGTAAAAGTTTAAGAAGTTGAAGATCAACTTTTGCGTATGGAAGTTATGAATAAATTATTTCGCACACAAGCATAGATTATATTTATCACACACGAATAGATTATTTTTCACCCAAGAATTAATCATTTAAATACGACAAAAAATTAAATGACTTGGTGTGAAGTTTTTTATGTTAAGATGTGATTATAGATCGAAAAATTTAAGGCCCAATTATGACAAAACGATTTATTTGATCGGCATGACTTTTCTGATGTAACTATAAGGTTAATGATCATCAGGTCTAAAGCTTATTTAAAACGTCCAGAAATAGTATTCATTAAATCATTCATGTTCAAGCTTCAGTCCATAAATAAAATCACATTGAGCGGTGCCATCATTTCATCATTTCGGATTGCCTTGGTCATTATCGTTTGAAATGGAGGTTATATTGGATCAGAGCATCAAGGAAATTTCTTGGCCTGATTGTGGATTCGATTGCAATATTCATACCCTTGTCAATATCGAGTCATCGAAGAAGTAAAAACGTAGCTTCTCTTGTTACGTTACCGATGACACAAAGCAAGTGAAATTCGATTAATTTATGCGATGGACCGCTAATTATTCACAGGAAAAAATCTTAAAAACAATTAGACTAAGTAATAAATACGTGTAATAGCCATCGTTACCAAAATTCTCTCATGCATGACTTATTATTTGAAAATTAAGTCATTAGCTGGAAAATTTTACACGATAAAAAACAGAAAATTGTTTAGAAAAATGTTGTATGCCTAGCGGCTGGAATAGCTTCTTATTGAGCTCACAGTTCACGAACTTGCCTGAGCCCAAGTTATTTTATATCGCAGGTCATGGTAGATACTCATGTTTTTTTTTTCACATTAACAGCCGTGGATGACTACAAATTAATATCTAATTAATGTTGATTTATTTAGTGTCTGCTTTAAGAGCACTCGCTTTCTGATGCTATATTATACTCTACACAGGCTATTATTTCCATTTAAGTTTCTTTGTGTTTAAACACTATGCCTTCGATCTTCACTCAGCACTGAACGATCACGTAAAGGTCAATGTCCACTCACTAACTCCTCTCTTTCAGACTATAATTATGCAACTGCATTTTATGCTGCAGCCTTAATGGAAATTCCTGGTTGAATTGTAGAGCACAAGGGACTTAAAGTTTCAGGAGGGGAGGATCGATGCGGCTATGCGGGAGAATAATTATCACATTTATCACGCCATGAGAGATGCTTCGATTGGAAGAAGTTTGATGCAGTATTGATCCAGTTGAGGCCGGCTTGTGGGCACGGCAGCAACATTCACTGAGTCTTTTCTTGACTCGTAGCCACATTATTAATGACCTGATAAATAAACAATAAATGAACTGAGGGACACAGGTGGTTCTATGTACTCCGGATTCATTAATACTTAATTTTTATTTTGTTTCGTCTTTGAAAAGCTAAATAAACTTAAATATTATGATTAAGTATTCAAGGGGCAGTTGAAATTGAAATTGCCATGAAATTCAGTATGCTTATTCCACAGCAGATGCAATGAACAAAGGAACCAAATTGCGTTGGCGAATTAATAAATTTAAATGTAAAGCTATCCGTTAAACAACTTTCAAAACAGAAGCCAAATTAACGAGGAGAGTAATTTATTGTACAAGCTCCAAGGTCGGAGACATTCGAACGGTAGAATATGCGAGTGAAACATGGAAAATGGTTGCCATATGGGGAATTTTTATTTGTAATAAATTAATATATGAGGTTAATTTAATAATTATTCTTGTCGGTTACCCATGTACACTATATTCTTCTTTACTTTGCTGATTAATCAATTTGTCGTTATCTTTCATACGCATTCAGACAGCACCTTTAACTATTATTGCTCAAAATTTGAGTCTAATGATGTGCAGCGCCTAAATGAAATTAAAACGCTAAGCTGAGAATTAAAATACAGCAACCAAATTTAGCCTCGCTGGAAATTGTATAATAATGATCATAGAGTATTATTTTAGAATTTCTGTTATTTAGATATTATATTATAATGGAGATTAATATAAATCGATATTTTGCTACGATAGCAAGCAATTGTAACCGTTAATTAATTAATTAATGAATTAACGCATTAGAGGTGATTAATGTGTTCATTTTTGAGTATCGCAGACATCTCGTTTATAACTCTGAACTTCCTTGGCCGCTGGTTGTATAATGAGAAAGACCTTAAAAAATACTCCGTGATATATTGCTCGAAATATATATATTACGATTCTAAAAATTATATCATGGGTAAAATGGTGATTCCGATTGTAATTTTCGTTAACTTTATTGACTTACTGCATGTACGCATCCTATGTTTTCTTCGAATTGGAGTTTTTTTAACAAAACAATCTCATTAGTAATTTTTTCACAGTGTCATCGACACAGCTGACGAAAAACCCTAACATCTCGCAAAACATGAGCGGTATTTTCCCACGAATGTCATTCGGTAACTTGATAGCAAGCGATTATCTGATATCAAACCGACGCAATTTTCTGCACACGCGTTTGTTTTCGACTGCATATAATATTAAATGCAGGATATGATAAAACTTGGTGGTTTTGCGTCACATAATTGTTCATGCAAAAAACTCACCACAAGCCTGGCCTTGACATATTCGATCTCTCAAAAATTTGTGAACATTTAAATAGGCGTTGAAAGAAAACATAAAATACGTATAATATTGATTTTATTTAATGCCCCACTAAACATACATAAACTCATGTTACTTATTAAATGACTCACATTATGGAGAAATCCGGTTGAAGCTGCTGGTTTCTTCGAGCACATAATTCTTTCAGTCAGCCGTTATTTATGCCTGCTTTCCATTCACATTCTGATTTTCTAACTCTACTCATTCTACAAATTCACTAACGTTAGAACTTCACTGACATTATATCTGACGTTATGATACAACACTATTCATGTTTAACTTTGATTCGCCTAACAGCTGGAAGTCAGCATATTTAAACTAAAAATTAAATATGATATTAAATTGCCGCACAAAGCGAGGACAAGATCACTTCTTCTTCCCTTGTTATCATAACAGTCGCCAGAAATAATGTTTTATGTGCACTTGTTTAAACGATTAAATATGAAAAATCTACACGATTAAATTAATATGAAAAATGTCTCTCATGTTAGAATTTTTTAACCTTCACTTATATTATTGGAAAAATGCGCAGCAAATTTCCTGAACTTTTTGTTTTCAATGAGAATATGAGGGAGTTAGATGACTCAATTGGATGCATTTATCAACTGTCAAAAAATCAGCATATATTAGTCGTCGAGTCGAGTTATACAATTATGTAAAACCACTTCAATGAATCCCACTTGTCACGCCTGTTTCACAAGCCTTAATCGCCCCATTTATCCCATTTTCTTACTAATCCCACTAATTACGTTATTTGCTTCATTTGTCCCACCTTCTCCACTTAAAGAAACTTATAATGTTACAGTGGGTCTAAGAAGAAGAGCGACTTAATTAAATTTAAGGAGGTTAGTCGTTTATTAGTCTTTCGTGCGCCCTTATTTCTCAGAGTTTATCTCACGAAAGAGATAAATGTCCCCATCTCGGGAACTTTGATTTTGATCACGTATGTAGTGCGCTATCATTGAAGCTCAATGACGTTTCGACAAAACAACTGCACATGCAACACGTCAGCTCCAATAAAAGCTGACATGTGCCAGGCTGTGATTTTATTTCCTAAAAAACCCTGTTAGAGACAAGGTGAAAACTATATCTAAAATACCAAACATAAAAAGCCATTAATATTAAAACATGGAAATTTTTATTACAACTAATTATAGACTGTCAAATCATGCTTAGATACCTGACGCAATATAAATTATCTTAATTTCAAGATATCATTTATCATAAGTAAGACGTAGAGATGTTTTCCGAAAGATCCACACGTTACTAGTTAATAGGATCCAAGAAGTGTATAGAAATCGTTTACACACCAACAAACAATACAGGCCAAGAATATTTAAACAGGAGATAAAATTAGTTTGATCTTCCCTGCACGATTTGACATTGAAAAAATATCCTCCCACAGTTTTAATTTGCTTCATTATTTCCAGATAATTTCTAAGTCAATGCATACCGTTGTTGGGTTCTTGCTGCTGTGCGCGGCAGCTGCTAATGCGCAGTGGGACGCTAACGTTGTCAACGGCCAGGTAAACTTTCATTTATCCGGAGGTTTCATAACTTTAAGATAGAACGATAGATATTTAGATATAATAAAATGGTTATCAGTGATGGGCAGAAATATTTATTCTTCGACGCGAAGTCTATTTGTCAAAGAAGGGGCGTGCGCACAGTGGCAACGTATGACAAGCCTATTTCATGATACATGTTAACTTGATGCGATTTGCCATCACGTGAAATTTTTTGTGCGAACATTCGTCAGGATTTAAATCTCAAATGGTTAGAATAAACATATATATGTGACAAACTTCAAGGACTCAATTTGGACGTGCCTAAAAAAAAGGAATGCACTTAAGATTTTAACGTGTTGCGTCCAATATCTTCCATGGAGTTAATTCCGTGCACATATATTAGTTTTTTTATTAAGTTAAGTTTATTAAGTTTTTATATTACATTTTTTCAAGTTTATTTTTGCAGGTAATCGTCCACTTGTTCGAATGGAAGTGGGAGGATATTGCAAAAGAATGTGAGAATTTCCTCGGTCCAAAAGGATTCGGAGGAGTACAGGTGTGTAGAAAAGTGCTCGTTTTGTTTTAAGCTATATTAAAAATTATTGTGAAAATTTCAAGCCTCTCAGATCAAAATTATTTCTGTGCAAGATATTGAGTTTTCACCAAAATGAAACTTTGTTATTATTTTCTATTAAGTTATTTTGGTTCTATAAATCTGAATTTTTGGTACGGAGGCGTTCTAAAGTATATGTAATATTTTTCACGTATCCAGACGTCTCCACCCAACGAGTATGTAGTAGCGATGCAAGACGTGGTGAAGAGGCCGTGGTGGGAGCGCTACCAGCCTGTCTCCTACAAAATTGTGTCGCGATCTGGTGATGAAAACGCCTTCAGAGACATGGTCCAGCGGTGCAATGCTGTCGGTGTTAGGTAATAAAAAATATTTTTCTATTAAGATTTTAAATTAGTTTTTATGCGCAGCATTATAGCGAGAATGCCATAGGAAAGAAGAATTCATTTCAATTTCGAACTCCATGCCAGTAAGTTACTTTTGATTCTGCAGCAATATTGAAACGCAAGCGTTGAAGGAACAAGTGGCCACTATCATTTATTATTACTAATGATTGCTCGTCTTTTTTTGGGGAAAAATTGTTTTACAAGTCCATGGGAAGCAGAGATTAATAAGGTTAATATAAAATTATCATACTTTACCATAATTAATTATTTTCACCTTATTCCGAAGGAAACAGAAACTAATTTTAAACTATATATAATGTAACTACAGCATAAATATAGTCATTTTTGCAGCTTTCAATGCTCTAAAACACTTTTCCATCTAATATCAAAAGAGATAATCTAATCATATTGGGATTATGATAACATGCGTACAATTTGTTGGACAAAAATGCTATTATATGTAATATTCTGCGAACAGGATTTATCCGCACCAAAATGATATTATACATGATATTTTCTGGGCAGGATTTATATGAATGAAATGCTGATTTGTGTATTATTATGCGGACAGGATTTATCCGGATGCAGTGATCAACCACATGACGGGCGGTTGGCCGTGGGGCACTCCGAGTGTAGGAGGCAGCAGCTTCAACTCAGGCTCAGAGGACTACCCTGGCGTGCCGTACTCTGCCTGGGACTTCAATGATGGCAACTGCTACACTGGGTCTGGCAGTATTGAGAACTACCAGGACGCTACACAGGTGCAAAAATAAAGAACGACCTTTAAAATTTCACGGATTAATGTTATTAATTATTAAGCCTGGGACTTCAATGATGGCAACTGCTACACTGGATCTGGTAGTATTGAGAACTACCAGGACTCTACACAGGTGCAAAAATAAAGAACGACCTTTAAAATTTCACGGATTAATGTTATTAATTATTAAACCTGGGATTTCAATGAAGGCAACTGCTACACTGGGTATGGTAGTATTGAGAACTACCAGGACTCTACACAGGTGCAAAAATAAAGAACGACCTTTAAAATTTCACGGAGTAATGTTATTAATTATTTTGTCGTTATTACTTATTTCTAAGTCGAGTTTGAAGAGTTTCTTTTATACAGGGTGCAAACATCCATATCTGGGTTCATGCGATTGAATATGATGGTGTCAGTTATATTGTTTAATGTAAAATAGTAGAATAAAATAAGGCAGCCTGTATTGCTGTATATTAGCAATACCTGTCCGCAATACAAATTTAATTGCCTCTAGACTGATTAAAAATTATCTTTCCTCCAGGTCCGAAACTGCAAGCTCGTTGGTTTGAACGACTTGAACCACAGCAAGGTCTACGTACGACAGAAAATTCAAGAGTATCTCAACCACCTCATCGACATCGGCGTGGCTGGCTTCAGAGTTGACGCCTGCAAACACATGTGGCCAGGGGATCTGCAAACAATTTTCAGCGGCCTTAAAAACCTCAACACAGATTACTTCCCTCCAGGGTCCAGGGCCATGATCTTCCAGGAGGTCATCGATCAAGGTGAATTGGCGTCATTATGAAATTATTATGGCACGTAAATCGCCTTCAGAGTTAGTTCTGGATCTAGAATGGAGAGGGAAACCATGCGAATAAGAAAAGATTTCATTCCAGTTCTTTAAGTGAGGATAATTCTTTTCTCTCTAAAATTTAAATATAAGACTTTAATTTGTTCATATATTTCGCTATTCAGATTGCGTTAGTAAGCCAAGTCTTCACAGCTTTGTTCATAACCATCAAATTTTATCCAACAGATCTTTTGAAGGGAATTGAAAACTTTTAGTTTCATAAGTTCACTCTCATGTGCACCTCATGAGGCAGCTGAAAGACTCACAAATCATGATAAAATATTTTGTTTTCAAGGAGGAGAACCCATCACTGCAAACGAATACACTGGCATCGGCAGAGTGACAGAATTCAAGTACGGCCTCAAGTTGGGCATAGCTTTCCGAGGTAACGACAAGCTCATGTACCTGAAGAACTTCGGCGAGGGCTGGGGCTTCTTGGACAGGGCTTATTCCCTGGTCTTCGTGGACAACCATGACAACCAGCGAGGACATGGTGGAGGTGGCGATCAAATCTTGACCTTCCGGGTGCCACGGCTGTACAAAGTGAGAACTTTGAATTTAGTGATCATTTATAATTCTTAATAAAATAGATTAGCTAGCGTGCATAGTTACTGATTTTTTTCTTATTATGATTATTCTTTACCTTTTTCACTTACCCCTATGTTTTGCACTCACATAGCAATCAATTTTTCCGTTCATCGAAAAACATTTCTCATATGATGCACACAGATGGCCACAGCCTTCAAGCTAGCATGGCCTTATGGCTTCACGAGGATCATGTCATCCTACAACTGGCCCCAGGACATCCAGAACGGCCACGACAACAACGACTGGATCGGCCCGCCCCACGACAGCAACTACAACATCATCTCTCCCACGTTTGGGGCCGACGGCGCCTGCCGAGGCGACTGGGTTTGCGAGCATCGCTGGCGGCAGATCTACAACATGGTCATGTTCAGGAAAGTCACCCACGGTGAGTGGCTACCAAAGTGGTCATAACATAACATATTTATCTCGGCGCTGAAGTGTAGGCCTGATGTGGCCTGTGGCCGATTCTTTTCCTTTTCGTGCCTTGTTCACAGAAGATCTAATATCGTTTCATATGACCAGATCTTTTCATGACTGACGATAGTTTCAAGTAGCTACTAGACTTTCACCGGGTTCGATATGGTACTATGCATTTAAAATCTGAACATATATTTTTCCATAGCTTTATCTAGTCTGTTCTTGAACGCGTTCATTCTTGAAGCGCCAACGATGTCATTGGGGAGGCTGTTCCACATGTCGGTGATTCGAAGCGAAAAGAAATTTTGTCGCGTGGAGAAGTTGCAGCGCAGTTTTTTTAGTTTATAGCCGTGGCCCCTGGTGTTGGTTCTTAATTCAAATTCTAGTAATCCTTCGGGGACCTTGTATAAACCATGAGTATACTTGTATACTTCAATGAGGTCCCCACGCAGACGTCGATAACTGAGGCTTGGAAGCTTCATAATCTTCACTCTTTCTTCATAGGACTTGCCCTTCAAGCCTGGTATTATCCTTGGTGCACGTCTTCGAACATTCTCTATTGAATTTCTGTCCTTTTCAAATCTCGGTGACCTTACAACGTTTCCAAACTCTAGATTCGGGCGCACGACAGCAACAAACAACTGCTTCATCGCTTCCGCATCTAGGAATTCGTATGAGCGCCTGATTAGTCCAAGAAGTTTGTTGGATGTGTTAGCTTGCGTTTCAACGTGCTTAGAAAATTTTAGCTCCTTGTCGACATAAACTCTGAGATCTTTTTCCACACTAGACTTTTCAATCATTACTCTCTCGTTGCAACCATGTCTTCTCATACTGTAATCTTGCTGTCCATTTTTATTCCCGAGGTTAAGTACTTTACACTTGTCAGCATTAAACCGCAGCTGCCACGTATCAGCCCAGTTAACTAAACTCTCAAGATCATCTTGTAATTGCGCTTTATTTGACGCATTCTTCACTGTATTATAAACTATTGTGTCGTCGGCATACATGGATCACACGCTGGAGACTGCTTCTGGCAAATCGTTTATAAAAGCAACGAACAAAATAGGCCCAAGAACGCTTCCTTGTGGCACGCCACTGCGCACTGATACCCAGTCTGACACGGTTCCGTTAATACTGACACGTTGTCGTGTACCTACTAGAAAATCTCTGATCCATTGGAGTACGTATCCCTTAATTCCCAAAGACTTTACTTTACGCAACAGCCGCTCATGAGGAACACTGTTAAATGCTTTGGCAAAATCAAGGTACAATGCATCCACTGGCTCCCTTTCGTCCAGCAGGCAAGTCCAATCGTTCAACGTAGATAATAAGTTAGTGGTGCAGGATCTACCGGCGATAAAACCATGTTGACAATCTGATATGAGATGGTGAGCAATCAAGTGTTCGATAATCCTATCCCTCACAACAGATTCCATTAGCTTACAAACAACACTTGTCAGACTGACAGGGCGATAGTTGCCGGGGCTACTTTTGTCACCTTTTTTGAACAATGGTATTACTTGAGCTTCTTTCCAGTCGGACGGCAAAGTTCCTTCGTTCAAGGTTTTTGAAAGAATACTGTCAATGGGCCGGTCAGAACGGTTGCCAATTCTTTGAGCAATCTGGGATGGAAGCCGTCTGATCCACATGACTTGTTGGGATTTTGAGCTACCAGGCGCTTGAGAACCTCTTCTTCGTGTATTTCAAAACAATGGGACCACAGCGGGTCATGGGACCACAGCGGGTCATGGGACCACAGCGGGTTATGGGACCACAGCGGGTCATGGGACCACAGCGGGTCATGGGTCCATAGCGGGTTTCTCGCTAAGTATGGCAGATATTGGTTCGTGTTCTCTACCGCCGGTCGACAGTTTCACTGGGATGAAGTGTACGGATTTACGTTTTGCTAAGTGTTTGAGTTGATAAGTTACTCACAAATAACTGTTTTAGCCCAGATACATTTTTTTTGCAGCTATAAAAAACTGTTTTCGATTACTCTATAAGATTCTTTTGATATTACTGTGAATTATATTTCGGAAGTATTATTTATGGGGATAATTTTGAGATCAGGTTTAGACTATTAGCTTTTAAACTAAATGTTGACAAGGTATAAATTGAAATGATACCTAGTGGGGCAACGGGCCCATGCGTGTCACGGGGCAAAGCGCCCATGGTTTGATTTCAATAAAGAAAAATTATGTAACTAGCAAACTGAAAAAACACATGAAAACACAATTAAAAAATAAGCTTTGAATTTTCAAAGATAACTAGTAAATTCTTATTTGACTAAATCTAACCCAGCCCAACCTTCTAACATAAATTTATTTCTTTCATGTGATCGTTTAATTTAAGCAATCACTCACCTTCAACTGAATTATCTATGTTCGATTTGTTCAGAAAGATTTTTCCTAATCTCTATTTCATGTCACAAAATATCGATTATAACACGACAGAAATTATTAACAAATTTTCCTTTATATTTACGTTTAAGAAGATATATGAACCCCCGATCTCGAGACGACGTTCATCAACACAGCGTGTGCACGTCACTGTTGAAGTGCTGTCACCTGCAGTCTCCCACAAGGCAGTTCTCATGGCCAATAATGTCGATGAACGCGGCCTCGAGAAAGTGCATGCAAGCATTTTAGCGTCTTCTAATTAACAAAAGTTAAGAAGGTAAGATTAGAATCAGGAATTATCCACTTACATGTAACAATAATGTTTATAGGAAACACTTGCTTCAAGAACAAGACTGGGTTTAATACTTAGTGAACGCCTGTGGATGTAATTCAACTGGGTAGAAAAATTTAGTTCATGTGTTTAATACTCTAATTGATATTTTTCTGTAAAAAGCATCGTGTTTCGTTTCTTATCGGATAGCATTTAATTTCGTGTGAAATATCAAAAGAAAAAAATTAAATGCTGCAGTGTAAAAACGAAATATTACTCAGCAATAAATTCTGGATTCAATGAAGAGATAATACCAGCATATACACGTAGCTACTTTTATTACCAGCTCGTCAAATAAGAGAAACTGAAATTACGTTTGGAATCAAAATGACACATCAAGTTTGAGGATCCCATGCTGATGACAACAGGCGATAATGGTGGGAAAAATGTGCAAGGGCGAACTTTGGCTTATGCTACCTAAAAAAGCGCACAATTTTCGTTATAACATGAAAGTGTTCAACATTCAAGGGAAGCGGGAAATGATCCTTGAATGAAAAGGGAACACGAATTTTATAATCCTAAGGTTATTATTGGAGTTTTAAATTTCTATTTTTAATAAATAATTCACAAGTGTATCAGATACCTCTATCACTTTGCAATGCAATATCTAACTTAACTCTATCCTAGCTGATCATAAATACTCGCATTCTATATACGGGCGCCTCAGCCGTTCACAGCAAATCATCATGGAAAATATGATGCTTGGTATGGAGCTCGAACAAAGTATTGTATAAAATTCTGTAATATAAAAACAAGCTTGGAATAGTGACAACATTCAAAATATCGTTGTTGTTGCTGCAAGGTTACTTATGGTGAAACATTTTTTTCCCGAAGAGCACAATATTTTTTTTTTAACTTTGCGTTCTGAAGAAAAAATTTCAGAAAATTTGTTGTGAAAATAGAAAATTTATCTAACGAGAAATGTGTATCAGAATCCTTATTTGAATTTTAATTATTCTTCAAATAAGTGCTGATGGACGTCAAGTTTTTCATATTTAATTCAGGCCTTTAGAATGAGTCTAGGAGGAGGGCAAAAGTTACATAAGGAGCGGTCTAAAAAATATTTGAATGAAACTAAAAATCGAAAGTAAGCGATGGTAAATTCGTAGTTTGGTAGATGATAAGAGTAAGAACAGCGAGGTTTATTTCATTATAGAGTATGTCATTGTTTATTCAGCATCAATTCTTGCTAAAAGATGATGTAGAGTGCGATGTATTTCGCTTATCCAAATGATTCTATGCTAATGTTTAGATTTCTTTCCGTTATGATTTGTTTGAATTGACATATATAAGCTATATTCAACTTCGTATTCCAATTTGTTGTGCGAAATTCGTTCAAGGATCTTTCGACCATTTTCAAAAGAACATATAAAGTCCAACCTAATATTTGATATTGTATGACAGCAGCCGATAATGACTACGAATGCATATAGATAATTTGTCTGGAATAGAACATTGTAGGTTAAATTAACCATTTTCAATTATTAAAAGCACTAATAATACTGCCGTTATTTTATTCAAAGTATTTAAAAAGATGTATGCGTTAGTTTCGAGTTATTTCGTCCAGGGTTCAGGCTATACATATATGCATGAAGCACTTGAAGAAAACAACTTTATTAAAATTTCTCACAATTGCCAGCGAAAAGAACCATCAACAAACTATGCCATTCTCTTTAAGAAATTCACAATGGATTCCGTACCATTCTAAAACAAATTATTCTTTAGCGCACTATTGCATTCAAAATATAATTGTATGAGTTTGTTTTATTTCATTACGAATAAATAATATTACTAGCTCCTTAACCAGACGAATCATTTCAAAGAAAAAGTAAAAAATTTAATCGTAAAAATTGACTGGCGGTTACGTAACAATCAAGAGAGTACGGCTAATGCGCAATTAAAATTACCTTGAATATCAGAGATGACATCGAGCACTTTCTTCACCTGAGAGGTCATTTTATGCTGCTTGTTTTCGCATGACTATCGACATCTGTTGGTGCGATAACACGATTTTTCAGCTATAAATACTCACTCTTGTTGGACAGTATGCCATTAACTATCTTCGAGAATAGACAAGACATTATCGTAAGTTCTTCTAACAAATTAGTTCGGGATTTTAATATAAGATGTTCCGAGCATAAATCAACAGCTGATTGATAATATATACCGTTTACCGTAATGTACCGCTGAAATATACTCTTTTATTTCCTATTTCCAACCTTAATCTATAATTTTCTTTTGGACTATTCAGTTAGATATATCGT